GTAGGAGTAGTACTGTGGTAGGAGTAGTACTGTGGTAGTAGGAATACTTTGAATACTCTTAAAGAGCAGAGAAGACGAGTGTGTGAATTAGTTTTCAACAAGTCTGGAGAGACTGTGATTTCTGATCTGAAACAGGATGTGACCTTCACCGACTTGTTGCTCCGTCACTTCATCATCTCCTCTGTCTCGCTTTTCTTTTCCAGCCTCCTTCCTCCTTCCTCCTTCCTCCTCACCCCTGGCTCCTGGCTCCTTCCTCCTCGTTCCTCCCTCCTCACCCCTGGCTCCTGGCTCCTTCCTCCTCGTTCCTCCCTCCTCACCCCTGGCTCCTGGCTCCTTCCTCCTCGTTCCTCCCTCCTCCCTCCTTCCTCCCCTCTCAGATGGAAGTGAAGCCTGAGCTGGAAGCTTCGTCGATGCTGCAGCTATTTCAGGAGGTTTGATGTCATCAGGGAGGAGCTGGTCATCATGAGGGGTGAGTCACAGACTGAGGGAGGAGAGGAGAGGAGAGAGAGGAGGAGAGAGAGGAGGAGAGGAGAGAGGAGGAGAGGAGAGAGGAGGAGAGGAGAGAGGACGGGGGAGATGGGGGGGTTCACAGCATCAAAACAACAGCTTCTCTCTGTGGTCGAACACGACGTTAAAACAACAACAGAAGTGAAACCAGTTTCAAACTGTGATGAAACCGTTTTATTCTGTAAACTTCATCAAACCTAAAGACGTTTATATAAACATAAATATTTTATATCTTTTTTTAAAATACTTCTTAATTATTTCTCTTCTTGACGTTAATTTGTTTTGAATTCATTCTTCATTTGTTTAAATCTTCATCCATCTAATCTTTGATTTGACTTGATGGTGTTGTTGCTTCGATGATAATAATAATAATAATTATTATTATTATAATAATAATAATCAGTGTTATATCAATAACAACTGATTTATTTATTTATTTATTTACATTTTATGATCAAAGCTGTCGTTTCTCTTTAAACCTTTTTTTTTTTAAACAAACCAGCTTCGGTCGTGGCCTCGTTCGTTCCTGTCGACAAATCGAACTCGTCCATCAGATTCTGGAAAACGTGAGTTGTTGTTCGTCGCAGACAAAACACAGGAACTGAGGGAGACGTTGTTTTTCTCCCGTCTCCCTGAGTGATGTCATCCTCATTCAGACTCTGCCCACACAGCATCCACTGTCGCCATGGTTACGGCTCCGCATCTGCCACAGTACTCAGAGATCTGCTGACGCACCGACTCCAGGGGACGGACGGTCACGTGAGCCGTCGTGTCTCTGGAGGACGCAGGTGAGAGGACGTCAGCTGATGAACCCCCCCCCCAGAGGCTCGTCGCGGTGGGGGAGGAGTCAGGGCGGAGTTTGGAACAGAGCTGGAAAATATCACAGGACTGAAAAAACAGATTTGAATATAATGATTTAAACTTTACTGTACTTTACTGTCACTTACCGGAAACACACAGTACTCCACAGTATTCCACAGTACTCCACAGTACTCCACAGTACTCCACAGTACTCCACAGTATTCCACGGTACTCCACAGTACTCCACAGTATTCCACAGTACTACAGTACTTCACACTAGTTCAAATGCACCAAATGAACGTCCTCTTGTTTCCTCTTCTTCTTCGAATCCAAACAGCGAGCGGTCGAGCGTCTACGTCATCGTTTCCAAACATCGTGTTTCTGCTCGTCCAAACTAAAACTCCTCAGACTTTTCAAACTAAAACTCCTCAGACTTTTCAAACTAAAACTCCTCAGACTTTTCAAAAAGATGAGGCGACTTATCAGAACAAGTGAAAACATCTGAACTTCACGTGACAACAGCAGGAGAGAATGAAATCCAGTGGATGCTGGTGATGACGAGAGGAGACGTCTCTGAAACCACGACGTGCAAGTGGAGACATTTCCATTTGTTTTCTCGTGCCTCGTCTCTCGTCTCTTTCTGATTTCACTGCTGCATCATGGTCCTGTGATCTCCTGGAGTCTGATGTCAAATCACCTTTGAAGCATCTTCAGCGTTTTAACGAGTTCTTTACCTTTAACACTTCCTGTCCGTCTGCTCAACATCTATTCTTCTGCTTCAGTTACAACTTTACTGTAAACTCCTGTATCATATAATGTTGTAAACGTTTGTCTAAAGTTGTGTCTCTTGTCTTCTTCGTCCTCAAACTCTTCTTCTACTCTTCTGTCAGTTGTTATTATCTGTGTGTGCAGAGCTTTTTATAAACAGAACGTTGTGTTCATCCTCTCTGGTTCATCTGCACGGAAGATTTCATAGTTTTTCCCAAAAGGAATTTTCTTTATCAATTTTCACGTGTGGTTCGAGCTTTGAGTTGAATGATTCACTGAACTGTTGAACGAACTGCCGACCAGAATTCACAAATCTTCAAAATAAACAAAGATTGTGTGTATATATAAATATATATAAATATATATATATAATCTTCAAAATAAATATTTTATATATATATAAATATTTCTAAATTTGCCCGTATCATTTTGGGACATTTCTCTACGTATAAAAAACAATAAAGCTGAATTCACCATTTGGCTTCTTAGACCCGGTGGTTTCGTGAGTCTGTGATGAGTCTTTAATCCCTTTCACGAAAAGCTTTCATCACAAATATAACTTCATATTAGCAGAATTAATACAGCGTTTGTGTCGTAATCAGATTAGGAAAGTCAGAAAAAAGCTTTTAACTGCGTCTGCAAACGCTCAGACGAGCTCGTAATCCAGCGGAGTGAGAGTGGGGGAGCTGTTCTGATCGGGGAGAGTTTCTGTGGCTTCAACAACTCTCTCTGGACTGTGTCACATCATAAATGTTTTAGATTAAAACGCTGCGGCTCAAATAAACCCTCTGCCCTCGGCGCGGTGCGCAGAGGAAGGGAGCGTCACGGATTACCTTCCTCTGATTCACTTCCCGTCTTAACAAGTAACAAGTGATCTCCATTACTTTCAGACGAATCTCAGTGAAACTATAAAAAGGATGGAGAAATGAAAACAGCTGATGGTTGTAATTTTGAGGAGAGGACACACAAACAGGCCTGAAGACGAGTTGACGGTTTGTCCCTCAGAGGCCGTGAGACTGAACTTCTCACACGCTTCGGTTCAACACGTCTTTCTTCTATGTTGTGTTTTGGTGTTTTTGTGTTTTGGTCAGATTTGATGACTGAAAACAGACGATATGTAACTTTGGCCTCGAGGGGTCTCTCAGTCCAAAAGTAGTTCCAATGAATTCTGGGATAGGTTGACCCGAGAAGAGTTGACTCTCATCGTTTCTCGGGGATTGAAGGAAGAAGATGTTTGATGAGGATGATGAGGAGACGGGTTGTAGCGGCAGGAGGAAGATGACTCACTGATGACGAGGAAGAATTCTGAAGCATCAACACCAGAAAACATTATAACTTCATCAGCTCCTTCTGAGCGTGTCGGGAGATGATGTGGAGTTCAGTGCACGTCTCAAGTTTAGAATTGCTCAAACTCTCACTGCCAATTTTATAAGAAGTATTTAATATTTATCAAACGCACATTTAAATACACATCAGCCGATTTATTTATTACACTGGAAACTTTGGGCCTCCAAAAAAACTCAGCCAGGATCTGATTCAAACATTCATCAAGAGAATTTAGTCAAACACTTAAATTACTTGATCCCGAGAAAACCTACAAAACCTTAAAGTATCTGTACGTATATATCAAGTATCTGTGCGTATATATCAAGTATCTGTATATTACAGGTCAGTTGTACTGAACACTGCACTGTGCAGGTAAACCTAGTGACACTGTGTCTTTACATTATGTGAACGACTTCACGTCTAAAGTTACACTTGACTCCAGTTTCAAATCACCGTCCAAAACCACCAGACATCAATTATTCATTGAATTAGCGACTTCAGTGAGGAAGCGTCGGCTGGAATTCATCTTCCGCCTCCGAGACAAAACAAACGACTCGCGCTCCGCTCGCGTGTGAAGAGCAAAATCGTGTAGCTTCGGTTTTGAAGGACGCAGACTTCATCTCTCACCTCTGGTGTTCACGCAGCTTCACCTCACTCAGGCTGCGGAGAAGAAAAAATAAAAACCCTGACAAACTGCTGCAGAGTTAAAAAAAAAAAAAAAAGACTTAGAGCTGCAACCGAGCATCTGATGGATTATAGATAATGTGACACAAGAGTGTGATCGAGGTTCCACCGTTGCTCCTGAGCCACGAGGAGTCATCCCACACAACAGCGGCCATTTTAGATCTTAATGACACTCGAGGGTCGGAAACTTTAAACTGCAAAAGAGCAATGATCGGTTCTTTTTACTCTTTTTATCATTAAATTAAAACTTTAATCTTCTTGTTAAGTTACAACTTCAGTCAAATATTATGATTTTAGTGTATTTTCATAATGCTAAGATTTGATTCTTGGTAAATTACAACTTTATTCTCATAATATTCCAACTTGATTGTCTTCTTGAATGTGACGGTGATGTGAGAAGAGCTCCTCAGAAACTCTTCTCTTCAGTTTCAGACACTTTTAAAAGGTTTTCGTTGAGTGAGGAGAATCTGAGCGTGTCCTAAAATAACCAGACGTCCACTGTGGACATAAAGTGACCGAGCTCCGGATGAATTTTTTATGTGTGGCCAACCTTGACTCTGATCCGATCTTTACCTGGAGCTGAAGGATTATAGACACGTGACGAGCAGAACCATCAACAGAGCTTCTCTCTCTCTCTCTCTCTCTCTCTCTC